AACAGAAACAAGGAATCATCAAGTGATCCCTCCCCTGTCGCCCATTTCCCACCTCTAACAGAGGCCAGGGACACCAGCCCTGCCCATCCTGGCTAATAAGAATTGATGGATCTAACCTCCATGAATGTATCTAGTTCTTTTTTGAAGCCTGATAAAAGTCCTGGTCTTTACAACATCCTCTGGCAAGGAGTTCCACAGGTTGACTGTGCGCTGCAGGAAGAAATACTTCCTTTTGTTTGTTTTAAACCTGCCACCTATTAATTTCATTTGGTGCTGGCCCCCCCTCCCCCGTTCTTATATTATGGAAACAAGTACATCATTTTTCCTTATTAACTTTCTCTATACCTGTCATGAATGTATAGACCTTTATCATATTCCCCCCCCCTTAGTATCCACTTTTCTAAGATGAAAAGTCCGAGTCTTTTTAATCTTGCTTTATATAGCACCCATTCCAAACTCCTGATCATTTTGTTGCCCTTTTCTGAATCTTATCCAATGACAAGATATCTTTTTTGAGAGGAGGCTATCACATCTGTCTGCAGTATTCAAGATGTGAATGTACTATGGATTTATACAGCAGCAGTAAGATAGAGAATAAGACAGAGACTATCACTTTTTTAATGATTCCTAACATTCTATTTGCTTTTTTGACTGCGGCTGCACATTGAGTGGATGTTTTCAGAGAACTATCCACAGTGACTCCCAAGATCTCTTGCAAGTGGTAACAGCTAAATTAGGCTCCATCATTTTGTATGTATAGTTGGAATTACTTTTTCCAATATGCATTACTCTGCATTTATCAGTTTTAAAAATAATTTGCCATTTTGTTGCCCCATCACCTAGGTTTGTGAGATCCTTTTGAAGCGCTTCACAGTCTGCTTTGGTCTTTACTATCTTGAGCAGTTTAGTATCATCTGCAAATTTTGCCACATCACTGGTTACACCTTTCTCCAGAGCATTTATAAATATGTTGAATAGGATTGGTCCCAGTGCAAATCCTTGCAAACACACACCTCTAATTACCTTTCTTTTAACCAGTCACTAATCCATCAGAAGACCTTCCCTCTTATCCTGTGACATTTAACTTTATTTAAGAGCCTTTGGTGAAGGAACTTGTCAAAGGCTTTCTGGAAGTCTAAGCACACTCTATCCATGGGTAGCTGTGTTAGTCTGTAACTGAAATTTTTTTAAAAAACAACAGTCCTGCAGCATCTTAGAGAGACACAAAAAATGTAGATGGTGTCATAAGCTTTCATGGGCACAACCCACTTCTTCAGATGAATGGTGTTAAGGGGTCAAGGGTACAAATTCGGCTCTGGTGAGGCCACATCTGGAGTATTGTGTCCAGTTCTGGGCCCTCCACTACAAAAAGGATGTGGACACATTGGAGAGGGTCCAGCGGAGGGCAACCAAAATGATTAGGGGGCTGGAGCATATAACTTATAAGGAAATGCTGAGGGAGTTGGGTCTGTTTAGTCTGCAGAAGCGAAGAGTGAGGGGGGATTTGATAGCAGCCTTCAACTTCCTGAAGGGAGGTTCCAAAGAGGATGGAGAGAGGCTGTTCTCAGTAGTGACAGATGGCAGAACAACGAGCAATGGTCTCAAGTTGTGGTGGGAGAGGTCCACGTTGGATATTAGGGAAAACTATTTCACTAGGAGGGTAGTGAAGCACTGGAATGGGTTACCTAGGGAAGTAATAGAGTCTCCATCCCAAGAGGTGTTTAAGTCTCGGCTTGACAAAGCCCTGGCCAGGTTGATTTAGTGGGGATTGGTCCTGCCTAGAGAAGGGGGCTGGACTTGATGTCCTTCTGAGGTCTCTTCCAGCTCTATGATTCTATGAAATAAATAGCAGAGAAAGAGAGGGGACAGGAAGGGAAAAAATAGGGAAAAATATTGCCAATCAGAGTGGCCATGACAAATGAGGCTAATAGAGGGGTCTAAGTTCCCAGTGCTTAGCTTTTTGTGTCATTAGGGTGTGGAATGTAGCGGTCCAGCCAGTTCAGGTCTTTGTTCAGACCTCAATTCCAGGTGTCAAACTTGTAAATAAAACCAAGTTCTGCAGCTTCTCTCTCAAGCTGGTTTTTAAAATTGCTTTGTAATAATATAGTCATTTTTAGATCCATTAGTGAATTCCCCGGGCAAGGTGAAATGTTTCCCAACAGGTTTCTGTGTGTTTCCATTTAAAATATCTGATTTGTTACTATTAATCCTTTGTCATAGAGACTGTCCAGTTTACATGGCAGAGGGGCACTGCTGGGACTTGATGGCATAGATCACATTGGTGGTTGTGCAGTTAAATGAGCCTCTGAGTGGTGGTTTATGTGGTTAGGTCCTGTGATGATGTGGCTTGTGTAGATGTGTGGACAGAGTGGATCCCCCTGTGCACATTCTTGTTGACCCCTCAAAGAACTCTAGTAGATCCATGTGTCGAGGAGCAGCTCCCTGTCCCCTCCCTCAGCCAGTGACAAGGGCTCTAGGCCTGTCCCAAGGGGGGGCTGGAGAGTCACATCTCCTACTCCCCACCTCCAGGGCCCCATAGAGCCTCAGGGCAGCCAGACCCGTGCCTCACAGGCCTGGGGCCAGGGAGGAAAATGCCCCAAGGCAGGGAGGGGGTCTAATGTAGAAAGTCATCCAGCAATGCGGTCATGGAGCCCCCCCACGAGCTGGAGGGCTCTAGGCCTGTCCCAAGGGGGGGCTGGAGAGTCACATCTCCTACTCCCCACCTCCAGGGCCCCATAGAGCCTCAGGGCAGCCAGACCCGTGCCTCACAGGCCTGGGGCCAGGGAGGAAAATGCCCCAAGGCAGGGAGGGGGTCTAATGTAGAAAGTCATCCAGCAATGCGGTCATGGAGCCCCCCCACGAGCTGGACCCCCGCGAGCTCCC